GAAAACGAACTATTTTCACCAAGTAATTGTTATTTCAAGCAACGAACGATAAACATACAATTTCAACGAGGAAACCTTGTAATTTCGCATTTTTTTGTAAAACGCCTCTTACCTAGAAGAGAAACATTTTGTTGATATTTTTTAGTTTTATTAAAAGATTCTTTTAAATATGATTAAAACATAATATAACATGAAGTTTATTTTTAAGTGCTAAAATAATTCATATATAAAAAGCGAGTCTGTACGATCCACCCACAGGCGTCATGGGGGTGAAAAAGTGTAACACGTCGGTGTTACACTTTTTCACCCCCATGACGCCGGGTTAAGGATAACTCAAAAACTACTGGTCATATCTTGATCAAATTTATTTAGGACCACATGAGAAGCACCAGCTTTCAAATAGAAAAGAATCAACAAAATCTGTTTACCTAGAAAAAAGTTCTGAGGTAACACATATAAAAATATACACTCGAATTGAGAACCTCCTCCTTTTTTGATGTCGCTTGATAATACTCGTAGAAAACCGGCATTAGTATGCCATCATACATTGGGCAGCGGTGGGCATTTCCTTGTCCTAAAACCCTCTTAGAAATAAAATATAGACACATTATAATTGTTAGCTTAATTACAACACTAATCGATACAACATTCAAAAGTACAGTGGAATCTCGGATAACTCATCAAGTCGTAACCTCAGTGAAAAAAAAAAAACTGGCATTCTCTTCCGCTGAACCCCTATATACGCGGTATTTCGAATGGTTTAGTCTTTCGAATAAAATGTTATTTTCCTGCGAGGTATTGATAGTACATCTTTAAACAGGGTTATTTTTCAAAGAATAGCCAGATTTTAAACTTAAGTTCAGATTTATAAATAATGATGCACCGTTATTGCTGTTTTTGGAAATACGAGTAAATAAGGCTTCCACTTTATGGGCAACAACGTTTTTGCATACCGATCGACCCTTACGAATGTTTTCGTGCGCAGAAAAATCAGTTAAAATAATGCATTACCACGCATTTTGAATTTAGAAGATAAAAAGGACAGAATTTTCGCTATTTTTTTAAATAAATTTTTCTTCACCATTTGCCTAAAGTACTTATTCTGAACATTCTCTGCAAATTTGGCCGGTTATTGCAAATTAACCCTGTATATACAACATGTAACAAAAACCCTGTGGTTCCCGTTAAGTACGTTATCAGGATCAGTATTCAAACCTATAGAAATAACTTTTTTTTTATAAACTCAACCATATTTTTTTTAATTTTATGAAATTTATTTTTTATTTTATGTGGTTTTATTACCTCTTCCTGACACTAGCCGATGTTAAAGCTAAGTAAAGCGGGGTCTTTGAAAATGCTCTTACTCCCCAGACAATGCAGAGGTAATAAAAACACATATAATTTGCATACAATTTTTTTTAAGTAAAATAAAAAAAAATATTGTTGGAGTTTTAAAAAAAAAGTTATTTCTATACGTTTGAATAATGATCCTGATAACGTACTTAACGGGAACCACAGGGTTTTTGTTACATATTTTATATAATTCTTCTGTTCGTGTGTGTATGCCTAAACTCCTCCTAAACGGCTGGACCGATTTTGAAATTTTGTGTGTGTGTGTGTGATTAAGTTAACTCGAGAATGGTTTATATTCACAATTGTACCCGTTAGTTAGCGCTGTTCTCGTGATTCAGAAATCACCTGTGCAAAGCCAAGGCAGACCGCTAGTGTACTCTATAACTCTATAATTCAAAAGCAGACTCTGGAAGCCGAAGTTATTAAAATGTACTGACGTCTTACTGGGAGTTACCTGAACTCATTGCAAAAAAGTGGTAAAATTAAAAATTTTGTACAACCGACTTCAATATAAATTATTAAGGATAACTCAAAACTATGGGTCAGATCTTGATCAACAAATGGGACCACACAAGAAGCACCAACAAAAAAAAAAAGAATCGTCAAAATCTGTTAACCTAGAAAAAAGTTCGACTTAAAAAAATTCAGTCGAATTGAGAACCTCCAACTTTTAGAAGTAGTTTAATAATCCAAACGGAATGTTTGTTGCTTCTGTTCTATTGTGTACTTTCTACATGTGCAATTAATGAATATGACGGCACGTGCACCATTGCACGTGCGGCGGCGTCGGTGTAGCTAGACAGAATTCTTGTAAACAACACGTGCACCGCACACCTGCGGCATTTCACCTGCGCCCGTTTTGCTTGTATAAAACGGACGGAGCGTTAAGGCAGTCTTGGCTCTGACGTGGAACTATGCGCTTGTCGTATTCCGGTCCTAGTTTATCCTTGACTCCTTGGATAATTAATTCGTGCAAACGAAACAATTATTATTCTTAACTACCCTTTATACAAATACATTAATTAAAATTATGTTTATGTTTGGGAAAAAACTTTCTATGATTTTAGACTCCCACCCCCCTGTATAAGCAAACAAGTGGTAAAATTAAATATTCTGTACAACCGACTTCAAGATAAATAAAATGAGAACATCACCAATGTAGTCGAAGTCAATTAAATACGCATAATTAAGAATAACTCAAAAACTACTGGTCAGATCTTGATCAAAATATGGGACCACATGAGAAGTACCACCTTTTAGATAAAACAAAAGAATCATAAACATCGGTTCACCTAGAAAAAAGTTCTGAAGTAACACTCGTTAAAAAAAGTCGAATTGAGAACCTCCTTTTTGAAGTCTGTTGAAAAATCCCCTCCTCCTCCCTCAAATGATAAGACCAAAGAAGTTTTTCTTTACTCATGTGGTATCGTAGTGTAAAATCAATTCTCGAAAAACTCATTTATTTATTTGTAGTAAGAAACACGGAGCAAATACAAAGAGGTGTTATAATTAGATTTCACTATTTAACAAAGTGTGATAATTTGCGGGGTTAAACCCCACCCACTTAACTAATTTCCATCTACAGATAAATACTAAAACTACTTGCATCGTTCCATATCAATGTTGCAATGTAGTTTAGCTACCTTGACGATAGATGGCGCCCTGTTCACAAAATGATTATAAAAACTATAAAAATAATATTTTGGCAATAAAAAATTCTTCAGGACTGAATGCAAAACAAATTTCATCACCTTCGTATGATTATTTTACCAATACTGAGCTCTACGTACCTTTATATTTTTAGTTCCCATGACACAAAGTGTCGCCATCTAGTGCTGAATATATTTCATTATATTTGAAAGCCGACGTATAGATTTTTCTAGAACTATTTTAATAAATTAAGTTTAATATTACTTACAAATGAAATATGATGCCATCCATAACATCAGCGCGTATATCTGAGTAGTTTTTACATGATAAAAGTCAACACTTCTTCCTTTTTTTCTTAATACTACAAGAAAACACAGATTTGCGAATTTTGTATAATAATAATATTTCATAAGCGCACACGACGAATGCTGACAGTATACTAACTAAAGCCACGCCCACTGTAATGACGTTAATTACGGTAATGAATTTTTTACGTCATAGAGCCATGCTCCAGCTATATTAGTAGTATAGTTGTAGCACGAATGGGTTGGCTCGACCGGGGAAGGACCACGCTCTCACAGAATACCAGCGTAAAATAGCAGCTTAACGCTGCCGTGTTTCGTATGGTGAGTGTAGAGAACCGGAGACCCTTTTTACTGGAAAAGAGGCATTCCATCTTAGTCCTCACGGGTGACAACGCATGTGCATTTTGATTCGCAAATGAGGATAGATGTAGATGTCTATGGGCCACAGCAACCACGTACCATCAGGTGGACTGTGTGTTCGTTTGTCACATTATCCTATAAAAAAAAATGACGTCAGGAACTAAGTCCTGACGTCATTTTTTTTTCATCAGGTTATCAGTTCCCACAAAGACTTGAGAGACAGTTACCCAATGAAGTTGACGCTTTGAGGTGCCCCAAAAGAAGTATAACTTCAATAAAAATTTATTATTAATTTAGATTATAAATATTGTTTTTAAAATATTATCAATGTTTTATAATTTTTCATCTTATGTAAAATTTTCAATATCGCCCCTCGTTCCCTTTGTCAGCAAAAGTAGAAAAAAATTGACTTTTAAAACTAGTCGATCATTCTCTTTCATTAACAATGCCGTCGCGTGTCGTATATTTGTAAATAGCGAAAAATGTGAAAGGTAAAAATACAGACGAATTGAATACCTCCTCCTTTTTTGAAGTCGGTAAAAACGGTAAGTAGGTAAATTATCTGAGTTTCAAACACGTTCACGCTGTTATAATCTTAATTTTTCTAGATATTGCACATTAACCTTCCTCACAATAACCAATAATGTTTTTATTATCAGCAAATTATTAATACATTGCATAACACCTCGGTGTATTCTAATATCAAAAGATATAAATAATATATATAAAAGATATCAAAAGATTCAATTTTTTTTTCACAACATCTAACCCTACAGTTGAAGCGGTCTTAACAAAGGCGCGTAACGGACTAAGTGATACAGACATTCGCACGCGGACGTAAGGTGCATTTTGATTTAATACGCGCGGCACAACAATCGGTAGGTTATTTTAACAAAGGTCGCATCTGAGGCGTGCAAAGTATTACGAAAACTAGCTACGTTGTAACTAGGTTCAAACTCGCAGGTTTGCTATTAGAGATCAAAGAGTGATCCTCCTGTTCTTGTACAATTATTAATTCTGTGGTATAACCTAAATTATCTGTTAAATAATTAAAAATATTTGATTTACGTCAAACTGAGTTTTAGTATAACTGATTCTTTTCTAACAACATTTTATTATTCTGAAAAACGAGATAGAATCTAACGTAAGGAGAATGGGGGGGGGGGGGGGGAGTTCGACAAATCTTATGTACCCTCATGAGGGTACGGAGTCAAAATCGCCAAAAATATCCTTACGTAATTAATGAATGGTCCCTAATTCGAAACTCGTTAACTAGAAATTTTAGCATTTCACTTGAAATTCGAGCTATCGAGATTCCTCTGTATTTGTAACTTAATTCGGTGGGGGTTTAGTTTTAAAGAAACTTGCAATAGACGTCTGCACTAAATTATCCGGTGTCTTCTCACATTTCACATGTTTCTTCCTGATCGGTGTCACCTCGTGTTCCGGTCTCGCTATCACACCCTTAGAGTATATGTTCGGTGAATATTTTAGGACATACTGCTTAAGAGTCTTCGATGGCGATTTCTTTGTTTTCTTCCGTTTGACGTTCCTTTTTGATTCTGTAATTTTCAACCGCAGCTGCTCTTTTTTCCATTTGATCTTAACTTGTATATCCTTATTTCTTATTGACACCTTATGCTTCCTCAATCTCTTTTTTTCCTTTACTTTTAAACCCACAGATTCTAGTTCGGCTCCAGTTTTTTTAGTCGAACATTTGACTTTTATTTCAGATTTATCACATTTGATGTGGACTTTCTTTTTGGGAGCTACGCGTCTTTTCTTCTTTGGAACCGCTTCCTGATCTGGAATTTTTCTTTTGACCGCAGTCTGCTCCTTTTTCTCCTTATTGTAAGCGTTCACAGCGAAATCGATGGCAGTTGTTAGCTTGCCGTCTGTCTTCTCGTTTTCTACATGCTGATGGTTGAATGTACATTTGAAGTCCTTATCAATCTCGTTCAGATAGTGATTTTTGAAACACTCCACATCAATATCAAGCTTATTGCTTTGCAGCACTTCTTTGTCCAACGGACTGAACTTGTAAGCGCATTTGTTCGCTTTGAATGGACTTTTTATATCGAGATTTGTTATAAAATCGCTTTTGGTTTCTGTTTCTTTTAATTTAACAACGTCAATGTTGACGGTTTCATTGTTTTTCGAAATCTCCATACTGGAGTCCTTTTGTATGTGGACCGGCTTGAATTTCTTTGGTGTGTCGAATATTGGTAGACTCGCATTACTGTTCTCTTCGGCAATAAACTCTGGTGGCAGTTGGAATGTGCTATTTGACGAATCGTCCGTCTCTTTTGTTTCATCATCTCTTTCCACTTGTTTACTAATGTATTGTACATCCCCACTATCAATAATAGCATTTTCATCTATTAGGTCTATAGTTTCTTTGTTGAGCATAATTGGAGGGTTTATATTATTGTCAATGCCCTCGATGTCCACTTGGTTTTGTTCAGTAGAGGGATCGTTATTTTCTTTCAAAATTTTCTGAAACATATGATTTTGAATTTCATTATTATTGTTATAAACAGTTTATAATGTATAAGAGAGAGGCAGTCTAAAAATATCTAATACACTATATTGTCTTGTGGGTGTCGTAAAAGTTGACATAAATAAATTGAAACAGATGGGCAGCAGCATCTTCCTGACAACAATTCAAAATAATAATAAAATGCGGTTGCCTACCCAACTACCGTGTGATAATTTATTTTAATAGGTTAGGGTGACAAACGAGCACATAGTCCACCTGATGGTAAGTGGTTGCCGTGACTCATAGATATCTACACCTATCCTCAATAAAGAATGACAATACAGATGCGTAGTCACACGTGAGATGGAATGCCTCTTTTCCAGTAAAATGGGTCTCCAGTTCTCTCTCTACACTTACCATACGAAACACAGCAGTGTTAAGCTGCTATTTTACGCTGGTGTTCTGTGAGAGCGTGGTCCTTCGCCGGTCGAGGTGACCCATTCGTGCTACAACTATACAATTAATATAGCTGCAGCATAGCTCTACCATATTTAAAACTAAAATTAAAGTTATGAACAAAACTAAAATTATGGACCAAAATCTTTACAGGTATTTCCTTTCCTGCCTAGGCAGGTAATATACGATCTGTATCGTTCACTATTACTAACTGGCATTATATAAAATAAATAATTTACTCAATCACCTCAATAGTTTCCATTTCACTGTCGGAGTATTTTTTCGGTGAGTTCCATTCTTTTATAGGCTCTTTGGTTTTCGTTTTGTCTTTGTGTAGACTCTCGAATATGCTCTCTAATATGTTGCTGGAAAATAAAATAAAATTATTGCATTTTAAAAAATGAGGAAGCCAAACAAACATGTATACCATGTGATGGTAAATATATGTAAGCATATACATCTATCCACGAACAATAATTAAATGCAAATGCGTTGTCACTCAGGTCTGAGATGGAATGCCTCGTTTCCAGTAAAAAGGGTCTCCGGTTCTCTACACTCACCATACGAAACACAGCAGCTTTAAGCTGCTATTTTACGCTGGTATTCTGTGAGAGCGTGGTCCTACCCCGGTCGAGCCGACCCATTTGTGCTACAACTATACTACTAATATAGCTGCAACGTGGCTCTACCACGTATGGCAGTACATGGATACCTGCAACCAACTTCAAACAAAGACTACAGATTTGTTGTCACCCCTGAGGAGCAGAATGCCTTCAGATTAGAACACACCAGTGCAGGCGCTGCTATTTGTCGGCAGAAATAGGTAAGAAGATGGTATCTACCCAGAACAATCCTAGGCAGAAAGTAAGTGCTGCCATCTAGTATTTTACTTTGTTTTAAAAAAAGGACTCAAAAATATACTAAAAAAATAAGTATTTAAATATTTAATATTAATAACAGCATCTACGAGTTTTTCTGCCACAAGGGCGGCGCCACTAGAAAGTGAGTACAATGTATATGTATAGTAATATTTGACAGATTTCATAGCGGGGAAGTTAATTTGTTCGGAAAATGTAAAAGTTATTGTCTCTTTCTGTACTATTCACTATATTTTATATTAATAAGATTAAAAATAAATAAACCAAACCACAGATATTCATAAAAGTAGAAATATAAAAAAAAAAGTTAAATATGTGAGAAAATTAAAGAGCAAACCACTGAGGCATTGTTTTATGTATTAATATAATACTCTAGAAACTGATAAACTTTTATTGAAAACCAACTTCTCAACTTTTTGTAACAAATAACTTTACCTTAGTGTCAACTAGCGACATCTGGTGATCACAAAATTATTAGCCCTCATTAATTACAGCCTATCAAAAATCCACTGCTGAACATAGACCTCTCCCGTATATTGCCTCTTGTGGATAATATTTGCCATATAGACCGCCCACGAAGTGTGGCATTTTTATTATTATTTCGAGTTGATCAGAAATCTGGTACATAGCAACACTAATTACCACTAGCGCCCTCTAATATCGAGTAGCAGAACTAGGAGTCAAAATCCTTCTAGAAATTTCCATGGAAGAACTTTCTAGAACTATCCACACCTAGTCAATCGGGACCGATATGTACTCGAACATTCTAGATGTTTCTACGGTAGAAGGTTCTGGAAAATATCTGAGGCCCTATATAAAACCGGTATAGACCGCGACCGAGTCAGTATTGAATTGGCGATACAAGCGAATACTTCGAAGCTATACCATTGCGAACTGAAGTACAATTGTTTCGTTATTAGTGTGGTTATAAGTTGTAATTAGTGTTCTGTAATTAAAGTGTGAATTTTGGTAATTCATTCGGCAGTTTTTAATTGTCTCGAACTACAAGCTCGTAACAATACTCTAAAAACAATTCAAACAGAAATCCATAAATTAAATACTCACTTGATAATTTTCTTTTTCTCAACCAACGGCCTAGGTTTTCTGAACCTCTCCCTCATCTGCTCGACTAACTGGTTCGAGTCCAGTTTCAAATCTTTTATCCCCACTTGAGAGATCCGCTCATACAGTCCTTGCTCGAACATTTTTAGGGGAGATATCAATATGTTTTCTATATCCTTTAACGTGTTCAAAGGTTCGAGGATACCCCGGGGTGGTTTCTTCGGTGGTTTCAGGTTCAATTCCAGTCGGCTCGCTGTGATATCGGATTTTGGGATTTCATCTGAGGAATAAAGTAACAGCTTATAAAACTACAGTACAGATTGTTTTGAGCCGTTATAGCTCAGGGGCTAAATGCTTGCTGCAAATTTCACAGTACGCAAGTTAGCCTGGTTCGATCCCCGCCGCAGTTGTTAATTGCAATTTTAAGTGCTAATTTACCAGTGAAGAAAAACATCGTGAGAAAACCGGCATGTCTGAGAAATAAGGAAAAAAGTTCGAAGATATGTGAAGTTCGCCAACACGCATTGGGGCAGCGCGGCGGACATTTCCTTGCCCTAAAACCCTCTCCGAAATAAGAGGAGACCTATGCCCAGTAGTGGGACGTATATAGGCTGTAACTTAACAGGTTGTTTTCATAAAATTGAAAGTGAGAGTTTTTATAATGTTACGGTCTGTAGATGTAATACACCTGCCATATTCATGAGCAGCCAGGTAGTTGAGCTATTGAAGGGAAATAGGGTTAATATTTAAATAAATAGCTACTCGACTGTACCAGTTCCTACGCACCCGTTCCAGCTACGCCTGGGTAGAATGGGATGTTTAGATTTAAGTCAATTAAATTAAATTAATCGATTTTTAAATGTATTATGTATGTTGGACTTTTTAAGACTTGTTATTTTTGACGTAAAGACATAATTTTTTTTTATAGGATAGGGTGACAAACGAGCACACAGTCCACCTGATGGTAAGTGGTTGCTGTGGCCCATAGACATCTACATCTATACTCGTTTGCGAATTAAAATGCAGATGCGTTGTCACCCGTGAGGACTAAGACGGAATGCCTCGTTTCCAAAAAAAAAGGGTCTCTGGTTCTCTACACTCACCATACGAAACACAGCAGCATTGCGCTGCTATTTTACGCTGGTATTCTGTCAGAGCGTGGTCCTTCCCCGGTCGAGCCAACCCATTCGTGCTACAACCATAATATATATAGCTGCAGCATGGCTCTACCACGTATTATAATTAACTATTTTGAAATACTTTATCCAGCTAGTACAGACTGAATTTTCATTTCTCTACACAGTATAAAACAAAGTCGCTTCCCGCCGTCTGTACGCTTAGATCTTTTAAACTACGCAACGGTTTTTGATGCGGTTTTCATCAATAGACAGATTGATTCAAAAGGAAGGTTTATATGTATAATACATGCATATTATATATTATGTAATTCTTCTGTCCGTGAGTGTAACTAAACTCCTCATAAACGGAGGAGGAGCAGCTTCTAATCGACTGGACCGAGTTTGATGAAATTCTGTGTGTGTGATTAAGTTGATTAGAGACTGGTTTAGATTCACAATTGGACTCGTTAGGTGGCGTTGTTGTCGAGATCCAGAAATAAACCGTGCGAAGCCGGGGTGGATCGCTTGTATTGTATAATTTAACGTAGCGTCACCTGTATAAAGATTACTAAATATAGTGTAAATATACCTGCTTCTTCCTTCTCGGTTTTGATTGTAATGCCATTTCTTTGCGTGTTCGAACTCGAAGCTCTGGAAAATGAAAATATTAACATGAGTATAATTGCTGCCACAATATTGTGCCATAAAAAACAACTGGCATATTTTTATACAGGGTTATTTTGCAGTAACCGACCAAAGCAGAGAAAGTTGAGAATAAGTAATATAGGCAAATGGTGAAGAAAAATTAATTAAAAAAAATATCATTTATTCTGTCCTTTTTATCTTTTAAATTCAAAATGCGTGGTAATGCAATTTTTTAATTGATTGTCATTCATAAATATCTAACGCCTACTATTTTACTACGCACGCACACATTCATAAGGGTCGTTTTTTTATAGGATAGGGTGACAAACGAGCACACAGTTCGCCTGATGGTAAGTGGTTGATGTGACCCATAGACATCTATCTACATTTATCCTCAATAAAGAATCAAAATGCAGATGCGTCGTCACCCGTGAGGACTAAGATGGAATGCCTCTTTACCTCTTTTCCAGTAAAATGGGTCTCCGGTTCTCTACACACACCATACGAAACACAGCAGTGTCAAGCTGCCATTTTACGCTGGTATTCTGTGAGAGCGTGGTCCTTCCCCGGTCGAGCCGACTCATTTGTACTAAAACTATACTACTAAAATAGCTGCAACATGGCACTACCATGTTTTGCAAAAACGTAATGAATTGAATCGCACGCAGAGCGCGCGTACGCGTAGTTGTTGCCCATAAATCACATTCAATTTGGGATGATTTCAAATAAAAGAAGAAGCTTTATTTACTCGTATTTTCAAAAACTGCAATGCCGGTTTATCATTTACATATTTGAACTTAAGTTTAAAATTTGGTTATTCTTTGAAAAATGACTCTGTATATATAATATTAATATCCTCCAGACCGTATTTCGGCCACGGCGGCAGTCCTAGCAAGACATGATCATAGTGCACTCTCTATTCCCTCACTCTCATAGTCCGATGGGACGGTAACCGACACGACCGGAGAGAGATCAGGCGCAGGACCAACGGCTTTACGTGCTTTCCGAGGCACGGGGTTGAAACATCGTAAACTTCCAGGAAGTTTAGGCTACTAATGAGAATTTCGAACCTATAACCAGCAGCCGCTCTTCTTGTACATCACTTTATACGGTCTCCACACTCTGTGCATTGTATGGGATCTCTTGGTTTTATTTAGTTTTCTCTCTGTGGCATTCTCCACACACATATATCATAGGAACTTTAGTGATAGATTGTTCTTTGGTTCCTACATCAGCCATTTAAAAATATTTAAAAAACGTTGACAAATCTCTACACTTTTATTGAAGTAAATGGAAAAAGAGCAAAAACTAACTAATAACATCAAGATAATTTGAATTTCTTTGAGTTTTTGTTTTCTTTTTGAGATGTTTGCGTTTGCCTTGCAATTTTGAAAGACCACTAGTCCAGTTAATTTTGTGCAGTCGATGTGTTTCGCTTGTGACACGACGACAGCACCGCCCCGCCGGGCAAGGTGTTCTGTACTGGCTATATATATATATATATATATATATGTGTGTGTGTGTGTGTGTGTGTGTGTGTGTGTGTGTGTGTGTGTCACTGCTGGGTACAGGCCTCCCCTGATCTCTGAGAGGGTTTTAGCGTAGATAATACACTTGGCGGAATTCACATATCCTAGAAATATTTTTTCTTATTTGTCAGACATGCAGGTTTCCTCGCGTTTTCTTTCATCGCTGAGCACGTGGTGAATCTGCACTTAAAATTAGAACAATTTCATTGGTACGGGCGGAAATCGAATCCGGGGGTCGACAACGCTGTTGTTTATCCCCTGGCTTCTTCCTATCGCTTCTTACGACATCCACTACTATACGCTATATACGGTATATATACGCTATATATCGCTACTATACGGTAGACTTGGGCTTTAAATGGTTAAAATTGACGAAGTGTGGGGCGGCCTGCTACTAGATGGAGTGACGACCTGGAAAGATATACAGGAAGTCGATGGATGAAGGTGACTCAGGACCGTGCTTTGTGGCATTCCTTGGCGGAGGTCTATGTTCAGCAGTGGACTTGTGAAGGGCGATAGTGATGATGATTACAATCCTTGTCATCTAGTCCTCAAGACCTTCAGCATATTGCATTTTGGACACAGCGGATGTGCTTGTGGGTGAGTGGTGAAGGTCTGACCGTTCAGTGGGTGAGTGCTGAAGGTCTGACCGTTCAGTGGGTTAGTGGAGAAGGTCTGACCGTTCAGTGGGTGAGTGGTGAAGGTCTGACCGTTCAGTGGGTGAGTGGTGAAGGTCTGAACGTTCAGTGGGTGAGTGCTGAAGGTCTGACCGTTCAGTGGGTGAGTGGTGAAAGTCTGACCGTTCAGTGGGTGAGTGGTGAAGGTCTGACCGTTCAGTGGGTGAGTGGTGATGGTCTAAACGTTCAGTGGGTGAGTGCTGAAGGTCTGACCGTTCAGTGGGTGAGTGGTGAAAGTCTGACCGTTCAGTGGGTGAGTGGTGAAGGTCTGACCGTTCAGTGGGTGAGTGGTGAAGATCTGACCGTTCAGTGGGTGAGTGGTGAAGGTCTGACTGTTCAGTGGGTGAGTGGTGAAGGTCTGACCGTTCAGTGGGTGAGTGGTGAAGGTCTGACCGTTCAGTGGGTGAGTGGTGAAGGTCTGACCGTTCAGTGGGTGAGTGGTGAAGGTCTGACCGTTCAGTGGGTGAGTGGTGAAGGTCTGACCGTTCAGTGGGTGAGTGGTGAAGGTCTGACCGTTCAGTGGGTGTGTGGTGAAGGTCTGACCGTTCAGTGGGTGAGTGGTGAAGGTCTGACCGTTCAGTGGGTGAGAGGTGAAGGTCTGACCGTTCAGTGGGTGAGTGGTGAAGGTCTGACCGTTCAGTGGGTGAGTGGTGAAGGTCTGACCGTTCAGTGGGTGAGTGGTGAAGGTCTGACCGTTCAGTGGGTGAGTGCTGAAGGTCTGACCGTTCAGTGGGTGAGTGCTGAAGGTCTGACCGTTCAGTGGGTGAGTGGTGAAGGGCTGACCGTTCAGTGGGTGAGTGGTGAAGGTCTGACCGTTCAGTGGGTGAGAGGTGAAGGTCTGTCCGTTCAGTGGGTGAGTGGTGAAGGTCTGACCGTTCAGTGGGTGAGTGGTGAAGGTCTGACCGTTCAGTGGGTGAGTGGTGAAGGTCTGACCGTTCAGTGGGTGAGTGGTGATGGTCTAAACGTTCAGTGGGTGAGTGCTGAAGGTCTGACCGTTCAGTGGGTGAGTGGTGAAAGTCTGACCGTTCAGTGGGTGAGTGGTGAAGGTCTGACCGTTCAGTGGGTGAGTGGTGAAGATCTGACCGTTCAGTGGGTGAGTGGTGAAGGTCTGACTGTTCAGTGGGTGAGTGGTGAAGGTCTGACCGTTCAGTGGGTGAGTGGTGAAGGTCTGACCGTTCAGTGGGTGAGTGGTGAAGGTTTGACCGTTCAGTGGGTGAGTGGTGAAGGTCTGACCGTTCAGTGGGTGAGTGGTGAAGGTCTGACCGTTCAGTGGGTGAGTGGTGAAGGTCTGACCGTTCAGTGGGTGAGTGGTGAAGGTCTGACCGTTCAGTGGGTGAGTGGTGAAGGTCTGACCGTTGAGTGGGTGAGTGGTGAAGGTCTCACCGTTCAGTGGGTGCTGTCCGTGGCTTGGTGCGGCGCAGCGACATGCGGCTGGGCATGGGTACGCCGCGACGCTCCTCCGGCTCCTGCGGCGAGCCTTGGAGGACCACTGCACAAATAAATTCAAAATTATCAACTAGCTTCTTATGAGTGACGTAAACAAATCAAAGCATCAAACAATGATACGACTAAACAAAGCCTCTACAACAGAAGAGGCCAATGTCTTTTGTAGGCTCGTAAAAAAAATCGAAAAACTCATCACCGACCGTGAATTATATGTGAGTACCGGAGACCCTGGAAACGAGGCATTTCATTTCAGTCCTCACAGCTGACAACGCATCTGCATTTTGATTCTTTATTTTTGAAATTCTAGTTATAAAGTGTAAATATGTACTACAATACTTTTACGTTTTGTTAAAAGTTTTTTTAAGTGGACTAACAATATCAAAATTTCAATATTGGCTAAATAATTATTTCAAAAACTTTATCCACTATTTTGCCACCCTCCGAGTGAAATTTTTTCTACATATTTATATAATATAATTAAACATACATAGATGTCTAATGAGATATTGGGTTTGTGATTGTGTTAGCAATGAGCTACTTATAATTTCTTTCACAATTCTTCGTTTATACCCATTTTTTAGCTAAACGTGGTCTGAATGGCCTGCTGTTTTTTATAATTCTGCCTTTCCTGTTGGAAATTAAAGGCGTGACGTATATGTATGTGTTTAATATAAACAGAAAGACATTTAATAAATATATATATAAATAAATTAAAGCGACAGTAGTTTAATAGCAGGGTAGGATCACGAACCCAAAGGTCGTGAGTTCGAATGCGCCATTCGGCTACTGTGGTGAACCATTTCTAAAATAAGCATTTTAAGGTAGTGGTTAATTTATTAATAGTAATGTTTAATAGCATTGTTAGTATCTTTTTTATTAAATCTCACGATTTTAATATAATTTCCCTAAAATGAGTTCCTTTTTAAAACCTGACAACCCTATTAACGGAATTAGTGGGTTAATGACCTTGAAAGCTTCTGGTTAAGGAAAATATTGTGAGAAAAATGTATGTGAAATTAAAAAAAAACATATTTCAATAACACGATAAGTCCTCTAAATCGCATTGTGGCAATGCAGCACACTGCCTTATCCCAGAAGTATGTGAGTGGGCCTTACCTGTCTCCATGCATTCGGCGAGCGTGTCGATGTCCTCGGGTGCCACTGGAGCACAGACGGCGCACACGTAACGGTTGGCTCGCGGGGCGTCCGGGTTCGAATCCTGCAGCTGTTGCCTGCACTGCTCGTGCATACCGCTACTGCCGCACAACACGCACACTAACATGTCCCATGCTCTGCAACAGTACATAATATTACAAATTAACAAGAATCTCGCGATAACTCAAATTTTACGAGTTTAAGACTTCACAATAACTACGAGTTTTCTTATTCCCCAAATAATGCGGTACACATATGTGTTACTTAGAAAGTTTAATGAATGTATTCATTCTTGCACGTGTACAAAGTATACATAATAGATCAGAAGAAACAAACACTCCTTTTGGATTTTATTGCAATGAGTTCGGGGAATTCCAAGTAAGACATGATTATATTTAATTAATTTCGAATTACGAAGACTGCTTTTTGAAATTCGAGTTATAAAGTGTAAATATGTACTATCAATACTTAGCAAGGAGATAACATTGTTATTCGAAACTCAAAATTTAAAATAATTCACAATACCGCCGTACCGTAAATTTTTAAATACCGTATTTAGGACTTATTTAGTAGCGAACTGCACCGAAACCTAAAAAGCGCTATCAAAGTTCTGAAGTTAACGAGCTACATACAACAGCTCCGAAATAACACACAGAGCGTTGGACGATCCCCGACCTGAACACTGCCCGGCGGGAAATCTTTTTTTTTTATAGAATAAAGGTGACAAACGAGCACACAGTCCACCTGATGGTAAATGGTTGCTGTGGCCCATAGACATCTACATCTATCTTTGTTTGCGAATCAAAATACAGATGCGATGTCACCCGTGAGGACTAAGATAGAACGGCTCTTTTCCAGTAAAAAGGATCTCCGGTTCTCTACACTCACCATACAAAACACAGCAAACATATTTTACGCTGGTATTCTGTGAGAGCGTGGTCCTTACCCGGTCGAGCCGACGCATTTGTGCTACAACTATACTATTAATATAGCTGCAGCATGGCTCTACCACGTGTGAACAGATCTCTCCCTTTCCTTTCATGACCAAAGGTTCATCAGAAAGGATTGGCAGTTTTTTCATCTTACTGAGGATTACGACTTAACACAGTTCGAGTTATCAATATGCCAATGTATTATGTCAACTATTATATACTTTATGTATACTTTATTGTACACCGCAAATACGATAAAAGAAAAAACATTACAGGGAGTAAAACTTAGGGGTGAAAAAAAATCTTATCGCTAAAAAACGCTCTCTTTTAGACAACTTTTAGATTAGGAAAAAGTTATACTATAGAACAGTGGGGTGGTAGTTTTATTTTATAGAAAAAAGGTTGACAAACGAGCACTCAGTCCACCTGGTGGTAAGTGGATGCTGTGACATCTATCCTCAATTAAGAATCAAAATCCAGATTCGTTGTCACCCCTGAGTCTAAGATGGAATGCCTCATTTTCAATAAATAGGGTCTCTGGTACTCTACGCTCACCATACGAAACAAAGCAGTATTAATCTGCTATTTTACCTTGGTATTCTGTGAGAGCGTGGCCCTACCCCGGTCGAACCGACCCATATGCAGCTATATTATGGTCGTAGCACGACAACAATAATATAGCAGTAGCGTGGCTCTACCGCGTACAAAATTATTTAAGACAACTGTGGGGTGAAACATAGCAAGTTTCCTTTCATATTCAATGTGAGCTTGTTTGCACCCGCGGAAACTTACCCAGTATCGGCATCATGGTCCCTTCCCATCGGACAACAGCATTCCGGTGCTGCACAGAAGACGGGTCGCTCATATATCTCTGAGAACGCATTCTGTTCTAGCTCCCAAGCCGCATCCCTAAATAAAAAGAGAATGAAATATTTTGCTCTAACTAAGAAATGAGGGTATCCACAGTAGAACCAGGGTAACCGACATAGCCCAACAGATTAGTAAACTGAAGTGCCAATGGGCCGGCCATATAGTTCGAAGAACCGACAACCGATCGGTAAGCAAGGTTCTCGAGTGGCAGACTCGTACCGGTAAGCGAAGTGTAGGATGTCCCCCCGCTAGATGGAGTGACGACCTGGTAAGACATGCAGGAAGTCGATGGATGCAGGTGGCTCAGGACCGTGCTTTGTGGCATTCCTTGGGGGAGGCCTATGTTCAGCAGTGGACTTGTGAAGGGCTGTAATGATGATGATGATGAAGGGGTCTTAATACCGTGTTTTGTGGAATTCCTTGATCTTATGTTCAACAGTGGACTTGTGGTGGGCTGTCATAATGTTAATGATGACGATGAACAACAAAATCACCTGAAAATATTGGATTGTCTTTAGGCTACTTTGCACCAATTTTTTGGCGACTTGAACTAAGATAGACTTGGCAACACTGCTTAGTACTTTGTTTACCAGCCTTGAAAAAAAATAATTATACCTTTTTGACAAAAAGTATAAAATAATAAATAACTTCTTAGTTAGAAGTTATTTATTTGCTACTTTTTTATTAGGGGTGGAATTTGTTCTCCAAATTTATGGGACCAATCTTTAAGTACAGCCCCTATTTAATAAAAAATGAATCATCAAAATTGGTTCAAAAACTTCCACTCGAATTGAGAACCTGCTCCTTTTTGAAGTCGGCTATAAAGTTGAACACTGTGGGTCACAGTTAATTTCGTATCGTCATACATTTAACAGTTTTCCAAGTAAGAAACATTGATAAAAAGTTGTTATTAGAAACAGTTTAACAAATTACCTAAGTAAGATAGATTATCTCTACATATTATAAAACAAAGTCGCTTCCTGCCGTTTGTACGCTTAGAGCTTTTGAACTACGCAACGGTTTTTGATTCAATTCAGATTGATTCAAGAGGAAGGTACATATATATATATATGTTTAATATAAAATAATTGAAACAAGTTTACGTCATACGTCATTACGTAACCATTTATATACCAAAATGAACTTAACAAAACATAGATTCTTATGACACTAAAGTTTATTCAAAATGACCTCCGTGATTTTGAATATGGGCCTTCAATCTGCGCGGCCAGTCGTCTATCGCAGCACGAACGAGGTCCATGTCAATATCGGCGGCTGCCTTAATCAAGGATGTCTTGAGTGACTGCAAATTGGGATGAGGCTTTGAGCACGCCTTTTCCTCCAAGTGTTGCCATATCTTGTAATCTAACGGATTCAAATCTGGACTGGAGGAGGGCCAGTCTTCGTGCCGGATGAAGTCGATTTCACGCGCCGCCAGCCAGTCTTGTGTGCTCTTCGCTCTATGAGCTGGCGCCGAATCTTGTTGGAATACCCAGTGCCTGTTATTGAACATGGTATGAGAAACAGGTTCCACAAGGTTCGTCAGGACTGTATTTTGATACACAACTGCATTCGTTTTTACACCTTTCTCACAAAAATGTACCTCTGTTAAGCCCCAATAAGAAACTCCCAACCATACCATGAGCGAGGATGGAAAATGACCTCGTTGGACACGCGGAATACGGTTGCTCGCTTCTTCACTACTGTGTGCGTACACCTTATCATTTTGTTTGTTGTAGCTCTCTTCTACGGTAAAAATGTTTTCATCCGAAAAAAGAATTTCCCGATATTTTTTTCCCGCGTTCCGCTTCAACAAAGCGCGGCATCTCTTCAGTCTCAGGTCCATTAGACGAGCATTCAAATGATGTCCTGTTTTTCCTTCGATATGCCCGACGCCCTAAGTCTTCATTTAACACCCTTTTCACCGTGGTTCTGCTTAACCCCATCTGAAGAGCCAACAGTTTCTTCTTACGTTTGGGATTTCTTTGAATTCGCGCCTTCACAGCTTTTATCACTGCTGGAGTCCTAGCAGACCGAGGGCGACCACTTCTTGACCTGTCATCTACACTAGTCTTCATTGCATCGTTTGATGGTACGATAAACGAATCTTTTGGTTATATTCAAATTTTTCAGTATGTCAAAAATTTGAATTGGCGCGTAACCGCAACGATGCAACGCAATAACTGCAACACGGTCTTTAAGCGTCCACTCCATATTTAAAAATGAGTAAAATTCTAAAAAGTATACAGTTTTATTTTCATGAACAATTCGAAATTCGAATTCAATAAACTTTTTTGTGGCCAGCATTCTAAAAGAAAAGTTATTACTGTGTGACAATACTTATGACCTGACTAGGTATATATATATATACATATTATGCACACACACATATATATATATATATATATATATATATATATATATATATATATATTATGCATATTATATAATTCTTTGTATATAATTTTCGTATGTATGTGACTGAACGCCTCCTAAGCAGCTGGATCGATTTTGATGAAGGGAGAATGCCAGATTCTCTATAGAACTTTGCCCCACCCAAAAGTGTGGTGTAGGTACACAAATGCCGTATGCAACAATTTTTTTTCTACGAGGGCGGCACTGAAAATTTCGGGAATCAAGGAAGTGACACAACATTATTATTTAAAAATGTATTTATTGCTTTTCGAAGTATTCTCCGCGAAATTTGACACATTTTTCCATACAATGGAACCAATCATTGAAGCAACCATTCCATTCGGAAGTTGGGGTCTCCAAAATGGCCGTTTTGTAGGCGTCCACAGCTTCTTCAGGTGATGAAAATCTCTGTCCACGCAATTTATTCTTTATTTTAGGGAAAGTATAGAAATCATTAGGGCTTAGGTAGGGTCTGTACGGCGGATGGTCTAATAATTCTATGTTTTCTTGCTCTAAAAACTCTTTTGTTCTGTGTGCGGTGTGAGAACTCGCATTGTCGGATGGAGTTCAGAAACGACCTGTGGCAAACAAATGCTAGCATACCATTCTGCATTAACCGTTTTTTGTCCCTCAAGAGGAATAGTCGTAACATGGCTGGTTTTGGAGACAAACGTGGCCACCATTTTTTTTTGCAACACTCCGTGAACGAACAATTTTTGTTGGCTTTAACTCATTTTCGAACATCCAAACTCGTGACTGGTTTTTTGTTTCGGATTCGTACGCGTATATCCAGGATTCGTCACCTATAACGATGTTGTATACAGCATTTGAGGATCCTGCGTGGAATCTTTCGAGAGTTCTGACGCACCAAGTAACGCGAGCCGCTTTTTGCTCTTCACAGAGCGAATGCGGTATCCATCGGGAAAATAACTTTTTTACACCTAATTGTTCATGCAAGATTATTTGTATTTGACTCATGCCAATGTCTAAAGTTGCCTGAATTTCGCGGTATGTCACATGTCGATCTTCCTCAATCAGCTTACGCACAGCATCAACGTTTTCTTGGGTGACTGCAGTTTTTGGACGACCTTGACGGGGATCATCACTGAGCTTGACACATCCACGTTGAAATTCAGCAAACCAGCGATAAATTGTGTTTTTGGATGGGGCTTCATCACCAAATGCAGAAATCATCCAGTCAACACACTGTTTTTGTGTTAAACCACTTCGAAAGTCATAATAAATCATCGCTCTTGAATTTTCTCGAGTCAATTCCATTTTCTCAACGACTAAACAAGTTTGATAAAACCTTGTGGCAAGACCGAGAATCTTTTTTTTTAATAAATAAATGGTATTCGATTTTTAAAACCAAGGACTTTTCAATTTAAAAGATTTTAATATGACAGGAACAGTGGAAATATTCTATTCCCGATACTTTTAGTGCAGCCCTCGTACTTTATTACTTCAGCCAAATTATATAATTTGAAGTCTCTAGGACGTACTTACGATATTGACACAATGACGTGTGTGTATCATTTCACAAAATGCACGAATATCAATGATTGTTATTCAGTAATTATCTAATGCAATCCATGATTACTATCGACTTATAATAACAATTGAAAATCATTATAAGAAACATTTTTATATGACAAAGACTTATAATATATTTTAATAAAAATATGTATTTTTAAAAATATTTATGTGTGTGTGTGTGTTGACGATTGGACCCGGTAGGTGGCGTTGTTTTCGCAATCAACCGTGCGAAGCCGGGGCGGATAGCTAGTGGCTAATAAAATTACACCGCACTCACCGATCTGGTACGTAGTATCCTTGACTAAGAACAGCTTTGTAGAATACTTCCTTCTCGTTGCAAAGGGGACATTTCAGATAGTGCATGCCGGCGCTCAGTGCCATGCGCTGTCAACAAAAGAAATAAATGTTATAATATAACGGGTGTCTGGCGGCAGATTTATTTTCGAAAATTAAAAAAAAAACAACTGTTTGACAAACCGTTTAATTAAAAGTAAAGGTGTTTTTTCCACATTCCTACCAGATTTTCTTAAAGCGCTGCATAATTAGGCAAGTAAAATAACCCTTAAATGTCCGTAATCCGTAAAATAAACTTCTGTAGGATGCTTAACTCCTTTTTGAAATCGGTTAAATATACTTCGATCCCTAAACTTCGGTTAGATTTTAAAGGCCAACACAATTGAAATTTAAATTCGGATCAGGGTTGAAACACACAACTTTACAAGGTAGAGCCCAAGGCCAACCTTGACTACCTTACGCTATCATAATATATTAAAACATAGTTCTAGTGTGGCAGCCATCTTAAGCCAAAGTTTGTTTACTTTTACTTTTTAAGTGCAGATTTCATTTTTTAAAGATTACATCATCCAAATGTCTTCAAGTTGCACGCAATGTTCAAAACGAAGCCTCGTGTTCCGCGCCACACGCTGCAGTAAGCTCAGTTCGACTTCGCAATGTAACGCATCAACATATTGTGAAGAAATTTTTAAACAAATTATTATAAAGAATAATAAGATAATTTCTTATTAATTGACGCTGGCAAAAGTACAACCGTACGAATCCATTACCAAAGAGAAAAAAACCCGCACGGTTATAAAATTTGTTTATAAATGGACGTCGCCTCTAATCACCTGTTGCTTGCACACTGACGTTGTATATACTAAATACTCATACCCACCAGTAACAAACACAAATAAACCGTCATTCATACTAATGCTACATAATAAATCAAAACAATATAATCGTTAAATTAAAACAACAGTAGCCTAGAGGTTAAGGATATGGACTGCGAAACTCAAAAGTCGTGGGTTCGAATCCTCCATTTGAATACTGTCATGATCCACACTCATAAACATAAAAACTCCCAGCACAAGCATTTTATGCTTAGTAAAAGTATTGGTAGTGTTAAATTTAGTTTTTTTAAGTTGCTGTTTTAGTTAAGTTCTTTTCTGGAGAGGTCTCCTGTATTATGAGACAGTAAACCTACATAAATTGCACAAAGACTAACATCTAGACATGGAACAATTAATAGTAGGTCATACAAATACTTGTTCCAAGCGTGATTTGAACCCGCGGCAATTCTTTCCTCAGCCATTATGTATAAAACATGTTTAAATAAAATATTTTTAACTTTTGCGTTTAAAAAATATTCAAAAGAAAAATTTCTGTACTAAACACATACCTGTAAACAGCTTCTATGGAACCACGCATCTCTTGCACAGCATGGGGGCCAGAATGTCCTTAATGTAGGATATCCATCAACAGTCTCGTAACATATCACACAAACTGCCTCCATCTCTTGTTTCTGTTCTTCTGTAAAATAAAAACACAACAAACTTACTATGTAAACCGCATCCCATTAGCCCGTAACAGTATATTGAAAGTGAATTTCACCACTAAGAATCATATGCTTTTTTCTTACATAGAGAAGATGGTAGGACTAGGCAATGCCAGCCTTTCTTATTAGCTACCACCCTGTTACATATTTCCCTCCTCAAGCAACCAAAGAGAGCAATGCTGTGAGGCATTCCTTCTCAGACCTCAAAGGTGATGAAGTTTCTTCCTTCTTTATTTGAAGTTGGTTGTAGGTGTCCATGGGCTGCAGCAATCACTTACTATCGTGGCCAACAATGAAATTGTTAATTGTAATTTTAAACATGGTAGAGCCATGCTGCAGCTATATTAATTGTATAGTTGTAGCACCAATGGGTCAGCTCGACCAGGGAAGGACCACACTCTCACAGAATATCAGCGTAAAATAGTAGAGAACCGGAGACCCCTTTTACTGGAAAAGAGGCATTCCATTTTAGTCTTCACGGCTGACAATGCATCTACATTTTGATTTGAAAATATTATGAGGAAACCTGTATATGTGTGTCAAGTCTGAATAAAATATTTCGAAGACATGTGTGAATTTCACCAAAACGCACTGCAACCAACAAGCACAGTGTTCTAATTATTTCATAATCTTCGCAGAAATACGAGGTTTGTTGGGCACAAATATATATACCATGGGACGAATATAGAAAAGTTTAAGTTATTGTGAAAGTACTTTACAAGACTTACCATCTTGATCCGTTTTATTCTCATTTACACAGCTGGTGGTTGAGTCTAGAATTTTTTTCTTAATCGTTTCTTGATTTTTCAATTGCTTTATTTTCCTCTGAGCTAGCGACCGAAGTTTAACCTTGGCCATTATTTCATCGTTTATCTTCTGCTTTGGAGCATGCTTGTGGCAATATGTCCTAAAATAACAAAAATAACTATAACAGACTTTATGGTTTTAAAATTAGAGTACTAAATCCAGTTACGGGGCCATGGCTTAACCCCAAGCAACCAAATTAATGCATTGCATTGTTTGCACTTTCCTTTGTTCTCTGTACACACTCTCCATGGGAAACCCAGCCAGAATGTGATGCTATTTATGCTCGTATTGTGTGAGCTTTGTCATTCCCTGGTCGAGCCAACCCATTCGTACTAAAGCCATATGCTGCAACATGATTTTCACTCTAATATTATTCCAAGAAAACAATGACTAACAAAAATGAGTAAAAAAACGTACTGAATTCTTCAGCCTTTTACATATGCCCAAAAGTAGGCTAAATTTTCGTAAATCAAAAAATATAATACCAGCCTTAATGTTCGAAATAGTTAATAATTAGACATGTGACAATCGTGAATGATTTGTTCATATGACCCGGGTCCGAATCCCTGATAATACGAACGCCTCCATAATCCGAACAAGCCCCTGCTCGTGCAAGCTGCTGTCTCAAAGAACATCCGAGTGCTGATCAGAAGATCTGCTATCGTTTGACGAAAATGTCACTGCTCTATAAAAAACACATTATTCATTCATTCAGAATGTACATTATCTGAAATTGTTAAAAAAAACACCATAAAAGATGCTGTATTTGCTCTGGCTCATGTGTTGTTGTCATCATATGTTGGCAATAAGCATCTTTAAATTTGATCAAAAAATCTTCAAACCAGAGGTAACTTCTGGCAAAGATCTGGATGACTTTGACCTTGAAGATGATATAATATCGTCAGTCAAGCGTCAGTAGCCTAATGGCAGGGCTCGGACCGTGAACTCGAAAGGTCGTGGGTTCGAATCCGCCATTCGACTACTGTCGTGAACCACTTCTAAGCATTTTAAGCTTACCAGAAGTGGTTAAAGGGAATATTAGTAATGTTTAATAGCATTACTAGTATTTTTAAAAAGAAATGAAAAAAATATCTACATAATATAATCCAAACAGGGTGTAAATTTTGGGTGTTCGGTTTTTTGAGAGCCTACTGTATAGTAATGTCTGTTGACAGACATTATTGATTGAGTCTCCCAGAGTACTGAAACTGAAACTTGAAATGATCCATTTGAACAGTCAATCTGAATGATCCGGTTCAGGTCATTCGGGTTGACTGTTCAAAGGACAATATTTGAATGATCGGGTCACTAGAAATTAATTAATGACACATGTCTATTAAAAATAATAAAAGCCTTTATTCAGACAAGTATTGATTAATACATTCTTCCACATTTACTGAAAAACTAATTTTGCCACAACATCCCTGTCTACTACTTTACAGTAAAGACCTCCTCCAACTGTGAACATTTTTCTCCGTCACCAGCCACTCTTGATGTGCCACCTGCAACAGCCTTTACTTCATTGACCCATCATATGGATGGCTTGCACTTTTCCTTCCCTTGTTTCTTGTGAACCAGTACATTATTGTTTTTGACCATTTTTCCTTGCCCCTGATTGTATGACCTGTCCATCACATAGATTGCAGTTTTCTTACCTCAGTAATGTTCTCTGTTCTGGTGAGTTTCATTATGGTTGCCGTTCTTATTTTTTCTGACAATGTTTTTCCCGACATGCTCCTTTCCATAGCATTTTGGCACACTGCAAGTTTTCTGGCAAGGTTTATCCACCAATTATCAAAAATCATAAGATTGTTGTAGCATAAATGGGTTGGCTCGACTGGGGTAAGCATACACTCTCACGGAATATCAGCGTAAAATAGCAGCTTAATGCTGCTGTGTTTCATATGCTGAGTGTAGAGAACTTCGATTTGATTCGCAAACTAGGATAAATGTAGATGTCTATGGGCCATAGAAACCTCTTACCATCAGGTTGACTGTGTGCTCACTTGTCACCCATATTCATTAAAATTTTTTTTTTGCTATTTCCCACTTTTTGCTTACTTCCACGGGATAATATGATAATGGATTACCTAACACTGCTACAACACAGCAAGCAGTAAAATTAAGTAAGAATGTAAAATTACTCACTTATAGTTACCATAGAAAAGCGACACTGCATCCCGTTCTCTACCACATGGCAGGTGGAACTGCTTTCGACATTGGCTGACGCTGCAACCCAATGTAGCGCCATCCCGACCACAGTAAGAACATTTCTGAAAACATTGAAGTCAAGTAATACAAACACATTGAAAAGTATTCGAAAAGTAAATGAGAGTATAGTAATCTGTCTGTCCCAGCAGTGGGACGTATATTATAGATTATTATGATATTATAATATGATATAGCCTTTTTATCCCGAAGCTCCTATCTTATTCCTTTTTTATTTAGTTTTATAATGTCTCAGAATTTGGTGTGCCTCTTGGCAAATGCGTCCTCCAATGATTCCCATTGATCTCTATCTTTTACAACTCTTCTCCAGTTATAACCCACTGTTAATTTCAATCCATTCTCCAATTTTTTTTGCGTTATCGCCTCTATTTCGTTGACCGTTTCTGGGCTACCATTCTGTCAATAATTTGTGCCATTTATCCTGGGGGTTCCATAGCATATGATCCGTCCATCTCCACTTCATTTGTTTCAGACTATTACGATACTTTTTACTAAATAGGAGTCTATGTATTATTTCTCACCTATGGGAGAGTCTACTGCACTGCCACAATGCCTGTTGGCTTCACAGTGCTGATAGACAGTAGTGTAATTATTACATATGTAAGCCATACATAATATCCCATACTGGCACACAAGATACACAAATTACAATTGGTGATCCAATTGCCAAGCATTGTACTGATAGCAGCCTTATTTATATTCAGCGGCTCAGAAGTACACAAACTCAATTTACAAACTGATGTGAATAAGCATTTTTTTTCTATCATAAGTGCTTAAAATTAACACTACAGTATATATCACTAGGCTCTTTTACATACATTTAGTTATCTTAAGGGATATTTTTAATTGTAACAAGAAAAGTGAAATGGATACAGAATTAATTAAGTATGGTAGAGATCTACTAGTGATTTCTTATATTTACAAGAGTACCATATTTTGAAAAAGAATTGATGTAAATTGAACTGAACCCTGACCCATTAAGCATAGAAAAATAAGTCAAATTAAATGCAATAAAATCACTTTCATTCAAAGATAGACAAAATTTAATACAACCCTTTCTTGTATCTTCAGTAAACATTTTTAAATCAGTTTTATAATATCAAATATAGTAAAAATGTAGAAATCTACCAAAAACACAATAGACACTGTGTATGAATATGATATTTAATATAGTAAATGTGATAAAATTATCAAAATACAGACACATTTTAAATGGGACAATATCTAATTAATAATGTGTGTATGAAAGAGAGATAAAATTAAATAGCTAGATGGTGTGCAAGTGGGATAGATTATTACAAAATTTGAGTAGTTTGGGAGAGAGGAAATATTTCGTGTATCTTAGTTTTAACATACTAACAAGATTCTAACATCTGTGTTAGTCATTTGTTAGGTAATTCAACAGATAAATTTGTCAAAATTCTAAGAGGAAAACTAAATCCTTGTATTACACATATACAGACAGACAGACACATACACAAACTCTTACTTTAAATTAAGCTCAAATTTTACCAAACCACCACAAAAGATGAAGAGAGGAAATATTTATTATCTGTAACGGTGAAAAGATATTTCATTTGATCTTACATGGCACTGCAAACAGGCTATACCATTATCATTACCTCCCCCATAGATTGCCTCAAGGCAGAATATTTTTCAAAATTGCCACACTTGGCAAGCACAGTTTTCTAATTTTAGTCATTATTAGAAAGATGTTGCTGCCCATCTCCTGATTTGTTCCCTCTGTCACCTCTTATGATAACCATGGGACAATATTGGATAATTTATACTCTTACACCACCTCTACACGGTACATACATATCAGTCTAAAAATATCAGATCAAGTGTAACACTTTCAAACAGCATCAAAGCTTCATGAACATTTATTAAAAAATTATAGTAATATTTATCAAAACGTTTATAAGGCTATGACAAATGAACAAGAAATAGATTTATAGGTATAGTAGGATAACACTTACATGCTTTTTACTTCTTTCAACTTCAGCAATAATATCCGGGTAGAGAAATCCAAAGAGACCATCTTCATCATTACCTTTCTGCACTAGGCAACAGGAAAGAAGCTGAAACAAATATTTTATTCTATATTATAAAAAAATAATAATCTAATATGAAGTATGAAAAATGTTATGAAAAGTAATATCAGAATTCATATCCCTAAAATTGCATAAAAATTTCATACTCGATAATGTCAATATCACCTACAATGCAATCTGTTGATTGTTAGATATTACAACTGAATGATTGAAATCTATCTATCTATATATCCAAAATTGCCGAACCATAATACCACAATCTAGTGATATATATAGTGGAATATAAATGGTGTGATATGTGACAAATTAAGACTAGACAGTAGAAATACAGACATACATGGCTCAAATAAGAAAAGATTAGGATAAAAGGATCCCAGTAAACTGTATTGTAAACAGTATTAATCTATTGGTAAGTTCTGCAGACTTTTTATGATGACTTAGTGCCCTTTTCCGCATCACGTCGCTCATGCAATCAGATTATGTCTGTTTTCTCTTATTTATTTTAATATTTTATGTTTATTATGAAGTTGTTGTTATGAGTGCAAGTTGCTGAATAAATGCATGTATATTATCTAACTAATCTATACTAAATGCTATTATTTAAGACTTCTATTATAGATAAGTTCGTAGTGTACATACCACGCAAAAATAATGACACTGAATATCTCCTATAGCGTACAACTTTCCATAAATGATTTCATCATCAACATTGCGTTGACAAAATACACAAGGGGCTTTTTTACCAGTCACTAGTTTAGCTAAGAGCAAGTGTTTTTTAGTTTTTCCTCCCTTTTTACTAGACATGACTATGATTATTAATTACTTTGTAGCATATTTAAGCAAAACTTAAGTGCACATGTTTAAGGCTCCACTAAAACTACAAGCGCAGTTTAATACAAATTTTTTAACATAATTTTAATTATATTATAGCTTTTTGGGATTGTGTAAGAATTTCACTGGTACTTTACTATAAAAATTCAAGCCAAATCGAAAATGAAAACGTCAAAACGGCCAAAACAATAGCAAATATTTGGCGGGAATGGGTATATTTTACTTTCGTTCCGAAACCAACTTTCGGCATTAATGACATTACAGATGTGATAATACTTTGTAAAAAGAATTAATATTTTAATTTCAAATTAAATAGTATACCCATGCTAATGAATTGTTTTTTCATTATTGTATTTGTAATTTGTAATAAATATACCGCGAAAAGAGTAATAGACAATTTCAATCAATGTTACATTATTTCTTGACAGTCATATAAAAATCTAGGAAGGACAGATCCTTTGTTAGCACAAAAGCAGTTGTAGTGAATTAGGAAGTCACTCAAATTTACTAGTAAATTACGATAGTTTACTCGCTTTATGTACTTTAATCAAAGTATCAAAGCGGTGTAGATAAGTATAGGGTTATGAAATTAATATTTATTGTGTGTGTTGCCTAAATATGAAAGTGATTTTTCATTAAAATTATGAGCAATTAACGTCAAGCAACACTAAATTTAATACGTCAAAAAATTTAGGCAAAAAAAGAAAACACCGCAAATGCCACTGTAGTTTTTATTTAGTTTTTAGTGTTATTTGTGTTTTATTATTGTTATATTGCGCTCTAAAAGAGTGCAGAAACCATTTTTCATCTAGTCTTAGTTATGTATATTTTTAAACCTCTCAGAAGTTCCAGCAATGAATATTGTGCCATTACGAATTTGATTGACGATCCTTTGTTTTGAAATAATATTTCATAAAGCTTCTATCTAGTTACAAAAGCAGTGACGAAAAAATGCTATAAAACATGTTTTATTAATACAAAGACCTAGACCATATGGTTATTGCGAAATAAAAATTGTTGTTAAAAAAAAGATAATTTCCCAAATCCCGCCATTTTAACGCAATTGTAGTTTTGTTTGGTAAACTGTAAAATATTATTGCAATTAATCAAGTAAACTATGGCTATATTGAAATGTGTTTTTAAAAATATTTCTGAGGCTGCGACATATATAACATAAAAACTGCAAGGATTCTTATAAGATTTATAAAATGTCAGCCTTACAAAACGCAGTTTGGTCGAAAATTCCCGACGAATCTCTGAATCCGAAATATGAGAAGTGTCGCAATATCACAGAAGAGATATACAAGAGAATTAATATAACTTTTCAAATAAAAAAACTCGAAAAGACTGGATCACAGAGTGACCTATCTGACTTGAGGTATGTGTAGTTTGTATATATAATAATAATAATAATATAGCCTTTATATCCCGAAACAAATAATCCTATCTTATTCAGTTTTATTATAATATGTCTCTGAGTTCAGTGTGCCTCTTGGCAAAGGCCTCCTCTAATGATTTCCATTGTTGCCTATCTTTTGCAACTCTTCTCCAGTTATAACCCACTGATAATTTTAATTCGTCCTCCCATCTTTTGCGTTGTCGACCTCTATTTCGTTTCCCATTTCTGGGGTAGTTTCTATATATTGTAATTAAAATGTTTTTCTCTGTTACGACATTGTTTTGCTCGATTCGATGATATTTATTACAAGGCAAGGGTAGATACAAATAACAATTATTAAACTAGCTAGTTATTTTATATTCATCATTATGGTATAGGCCCCTTCCATAAATTGCCTCTTACTGTGGGGGTATTGCCACTCTTGATGCCATTTTTGTATTATTATTTAGTTGCTATCAGAAAGCACATTAAATTCTACACTCACTAGAGATGAAGTGTATATACTAGAACAGATGTATGCACTAGGTATTAAACGAGACTAGATTGCACCTGTTCCAACTTTTAAAATACTTGATCCACCTAGTCTCACTGTGCTTATGTGTTGCACTGCACAGGCACAGCGGCTAGCTCGAATTGAAGAAGTAGAAGTACTGGTGTGGCAAAGCGAAATAGCATTTAGTTGCCATAGTTACTAGTCTGCTTTACCAGTCACTCTTGTTTACCTAAATCATTCGTGTGTCAGTCATTTAAATTTGAACTATATTTTATTGTGTATAAAAGTAACATGATGCACACTCGTGTTGTGTAAGAATATATTGTGTCCTTTTTAACTACACTTTTCTGCAGTCTTTCTATCTTTGTCTGTCAATACTCAAGACCAGTTGGGACTAGTACTTCAACCAAATATTAGGCAGATTTTATACACTAGATACTTGTAAATACTCGATGCGAATGTGATCTGGACACCATATTGAATGATACCTACTCGACTTATTTAGCAATAGGTCTTTGTACCAAAGTTTTATTATGTGGTTAAAGAACTTTCAATTTATTTTTTATTTAGATATTTATGTTTCTTTTTTTTTTAAATTGTAGCAGTGTCGCTTGAGATCATTTTACTGACATCTACAATTGTAAAATATATTTTAGTTTTAAAAACTTTTACGCATTTATAAAAAACAATGATTGTAGATAGGTAATTAAAAAAACGAAACAAAAATAATAATAAAATAAAAGTAAAAAAGACAAAAATCGGATTACTCTTAAATAAAAAATGAATTGAAATTTCTTAAATACACCAACAATCTAGAATCTTGGTTAATCTTAACGTCGACAATCCTAAGCCTGTGTAAAGTATGAATGGATGATTGATTATTATTCATTACCGTCACATATCAGCCAGAATTGGACTAAGTGCACTTAGTACATAATTTACCTAGTACGACTCGTCTCTAACACACTATATTTTTTTTATAACCGGTTTTATAGCTCTGGCTACTTGCCCTTCTGAGCCTAAAGTTACAATGTATAATTATCCTTCATACTACACTGCTTCACAATATGTTGATGCATCACATTGTGCAGTCCTTGGGAGAATTTGACGGCAACTTGAGCCAGCAGACAGCTGACAGTTGGCGATGGTATCTCAAGGCGCCTAAGCAGACAGACATCTTATCTTGAGAATCACATCACCATCAGAGCACTTGTTTTACCGTTTCCACTAATAGTTCACATGCGCAGACATTTAATACACAAAATCGCACCACTTTTACATATCAAAATCCACTTCAAACCATTATTTAAACAATAATACAAGAGTAGCAATCCTCCATCATTCAAGTTCTTGTCTAAATCTTACACTCACCATATCAAACAGCAGAATTAATATGCAATTTTATGGTAGTTTTCTGTGAAACTGTGGTCTTTCCCTGGTCGAGCTGACACTATTGTGGCCCTACTGCATATGTTTATTACAGCCTTAAGTGAACACAAGTGGGAAAATTTAAAATTTTATACAACCGACTTCAATGTGTAAATAAAATGAGATAATAATCAATGTAGTCAAAGTCAATTAAATATGCCTTATTTAGGATAATTTATACTTTATCAAATTTATATGGGACCACATGAAAAGAACCAGCTTTTGAATAAAAAAAGAAACACCAAAATCGGTATAACTAGAAAAAATTTCTGAGTTCTTCTTCTTCTTCTTCCTTTATGGCGGTTACGATGAATTTGCCAATGACATGTTACATGCGAAAAGGTTTAATTGGGACACAAACTCTGCTTAAAAAGGGGAAATTGATAATACAAGAGATGATAACAACGAATATTATGTGAATGATTTCGGTCAACTTATCTGTTGAATTACCTAAAACAAAAAACAGACAATGTTGTTAAAACAATACTAAGGTGTTATTATATGACAAACAAATTACAGTTTAATATTGTTATTGTTAGAATTAATAAAATCACATAAAATATATACAAAAGAGGTATTTGTGAAGATTATAAGGGAGTTAGTCTATGGGACGAGGAATGTCAGGGGGCAGATAATCGTAAAGAGATGATGACAATTTGGTGCAGTTAAAAAAAATATGGTTAGTGTTTCCCTCATCTAAACCACATTTGCACAGAAAACTATCCCTAATCCTTAGTTTAGCTAGGTGAACATTGGTACAGGCGTGTCCAATTCTCAACCGGCAGACAATAGAAGTAGCATGTTTGTTTGCTTTATTAAATATGAAAAACCAAGGTCTTGATGGAATATTGTCTTGTATAGCAGCATAGTGCTTACCTTTTAGTATTTGTGATGCTTTCCATATCTCATTCCATGTGTTAACAAGCTTTTTCCTAGCAAGTGGAAGCAAGTCATGGGAATAGGCAATATTTAGTGGGGTGCCATTTCTAGTAGCCTCTTTGGCACACATATCTGCTTTTTCATTTTCACAGATACCACTATGACTAGGTATCCAGGCTAAACAGACAGAAATCCCTTTAAGATGACACCTATACAGAATGTTTTTAATATCGAGAATTAGGGGAAATTTATATTTACTTTGGAATTGGTTAGCCAAAATAGCAGATAAACAGCTCTTAGAATCACTGAAAATCACTGTCTGGTCTAGGTTATGTGATTCAACATATAGCAGAGCTTCATGGATTGCAATTGCCTCAGCAGTAAAAATGGAACAAAATGAAGGGCACTTAAAGCTAAGGATTATTTTAAGCCTGGGGATCCAGACTGCTGCACCAGTACAGCCATCATCAGTAATTTTGGATGCATCTGTATACATGGTCATCCAATCTTCCCAATTTTTCCCTATGGCTTCTTTTAATTTTAATTCTGCCCCAGGGGAACCTTTTCTGATATCTAGGTTGAGGTGAATGTTAGCTTGATATATAATAGCTTCAAATGGAATATTAAAGAGTGAACTTGTATTGGATGAGAAAATGGGCCTAGGAATTTGGAGAAATGTTAATAAGCTATTAATTAAATGTGGACGATCTTTATAGAGCCAGTACTTACTTGAAGATAAGTATTCTGAGAGGAGGTGTAGCCTGGGAATTAGGG